TATGATGAAAATAGCATTTTTACTCTTCTCAATTCTTTCATTACGAGGGACCTGTAAGTCTTGAAGAAGAGATAGTGCAAAAAATTAGGGTACAGTTTGTGCATATTTATATAATTTTGTTTTAAATTTGTGTAAACATCTGATTATTTTGCATTTATATATAAAAAATAGGTTCTTTAAGTTATATAGTGTAGGAAATTTGTGTAAATAATTATTCCTAGCTAGTTGCTATTATTGCAGATAACAGTTATTGGAATATGGGAAATTCGGAGACATTTAGAAATTTTGAAATGGAGCTTCTTTGAACTTTAGGACTAAGATAAAGAAATTTTTAGTTCCCCTCCCTTCTAGCTATACGAATCTGAAAATTTCCAATATTTATTGACGCTTATCCAGTCAGAATATTTCTTCAATTCACTTTTATTTTAATGAAAATGTCTGTGTGCCTTCCCTGAGCAATTTTCTTGTGTCGTATGAGTTAATTTCGTCATATTCTCTTTAGAGTACCTGGCGGTTATTACATGCTTTGGAAGGGAAGAAGGGATTGTTTCTAGTTTTCAATATAATTTTCCGAACGTATCTTCGGTTTCTGTTACCATCGAACTGTCTTTGCAGGAAATCACATCGAAAGGCTAGAACACAAAATGATAACTCTTAAGGTATTTGGTTTACTATTAAACTTAAAATAAAGCGAATATATATCTCATTCCACGCTAAAACCACAAATCTGCAGTAACCTTTTTCAAGATCACTTTCAAAGATGGATAAAATCTTTGGAGGAAAAAAATTGCATTTTTGTACATTTCTCTTAAATACAACTCAGAAATATGCAAACGCCTTTTTTGAAATACTGTAAGGCATTAAAAAAAATCTTAAAAATGTAAAACCTGTAAATTTACTATTTGGGCAAGATGCTAAAATATGCAACTCATGGTAAATTCCTAATGATATGCAACTCATGGTAAATGAGTTTGTGCTCAGTAAACTGCTCAGAACATATGCTCAATCAACTGCATAATATAATGCTTCTGCATAATGTACATGATATTATGCAATATAGAATACCCATTGAAGTAATTTCAAAAATTTTCAGTTAAACTTCAATGAATATTGTCAAGATGTAGGAGCATTTGAATTGAGAACGTTCTCTTAGTGATTTCTCATCAAATATTTAATCTCTTGCTTGAACTGCTTCTCTACAATAGAAATTCTTCCAATTCGAGCTACACGTACAGCATGCGGAGAAAAAGGAAAGTTTAAAAACTCGATTCTGTGCAAAGAGGGTGGCGATCAACAACGGGAGGATATCGAAGTATTGAAACAAGTTTGGGGAGTCGACCGGTTCTTGGAGATCTCCATCTTCAAGAAATGGGGTCATTCGAACAGTTTCCTCCTCGATTCCCCTCTGTCTCTTGTCTTGAGGAACAATGCAGACCCCCTTTTGTTTTATTCTCGCTTTCTTTCCGGCGCCCTTTCACCGGTAAGGTTGCGAGGTAACTTTTTGATTAGAATCTACCAGTCCTCGCATCGTTTATGAGAGCAGGGACCGAATAAAAATTAAAAAGTTTTGTGTGACAAACTTTGAAAATAAACAAATGTAATTCAACAATAATTAACATTATCGTAACTTTGGTTGCCAAAGTTATTGTTATTTGTTGATCTAAACTCTTTATCCAAAGAAAATCCCCAAAACTTTGATTGTATGTATTGTAATCTTCGGAAACGATGGCTTCTTATTAATATAAACAAATTAAGGAAAAGAATGATTAAAGACTTAAATAGGTGATACATTCGCGTACAGGTAGAAGACCTAAAGATAGATTTCAATCAATGCGTTATTATGCATTGAAAAAAATAGTCTCTGAAAACTAATATATTATTTAATCGATGAAGGCGTTAATATAGTATTTTTTAGATGCCCACAATTAAAAGACGAGAATAGGAATGTTTATTATCTCTCCGATATGAAAAAATTTAAGAATTAAAAGTGAAAATAGCCTGTTTTAAATGTTCCAAATATCTAATGGAATTACAAGGTTCTTCTTGGCATTCCTGTAATAAAATCTGCTGCTCTGGTGATCTGCAAAGAAATCACTGTCTGGTGATCTGCAAAGTAATTCTGCAACTTTTCATTTGAACTTCCGGTTTAATTGATAAGAAAGAAAACATAAAATCAGTTTTCTTATGCGTACCATTTTCCATCGATCTTCTCTATAAAAAGTGAAAAAACTGCCTTACTCCTGTAGACCTATTGACTTTACAGTGTCGGATAACTTTTCGCAAGCAAGTTATTCTTATAAATCACTAAGAAAAAAGTTACAAACTGCTCAAAACGTTGTTTTGAGACAGATCTCAGACGTATCATAGTATGTGCGGAACCATAAGCTTCATACAGAGCTGAAAATTAAGTTATTGAGAACATTTTACTGCCGTCTTGCTAGAAAATTCTACAGTGATCAGAAATTAATTAAGAACTATATTAAAATTTATGGTCTATTAAAATTTATGGTTATAATGTCAATATTGTATGTAACAGCAAGCGGCCTGTGGCCATTCTTAGTAATATTACTGGCAAAATTATAGGTGTACTGTGTGTTTATTTGTATTTCTACTTGCAATATGTGTTATGTGCTCCCATTTTATGTTTCTTGTTAGTTTTCTAATATTTGCACACCCGCGGTCTTTCACTTGTGTATTATATTGCGTGTATATTTATTATTTCTTTGACAGTGTTACCACTAGCTCGATAGGTTTCTAGCTTTCCCAGTCGGCATTTTCTCGGATCTTTGTACGCCCTATTTTATTCTAATTTAGTTACCATAATTTCTACTTTTTACCTTAATTTTTAAAATAATAATAATAAATAAATAAAATAAATAATAAATAAATAAACTATGTAAAAATGTACATATTTGTATCCCATTACAGTTATTTGTGTATCGTAATTCGAATTAACTTATTTGTTCGAATTAACTTATTTATTCGACTAATAGATTTTTAACTTATTTGTTAATACTTATTTCGAGTATGGTCCTTTGACCCAGGCACCCTGATACTACACCACTCTCTCGCGTACAAATTTCATGTTTAGCCCAAAAGGGGTTATTAGTCCCGAAATGGGATTTCGCGTCGGTTTAAATGGCGCATCAAATATTATCGACCTGCATTATTTTTAAAGAAATTAAATAATAAATAATCTGCATGTAAGTACGTATGTAATTTCCTCGCATTGTGGGAAAATCATAGTGCCTATAGCCATCCAATTTTGAATAGCGTATTCCTCCACCAGAACGTGGGAATCTAGAAGTCCGAATTTTAAATTGCGAATTTGTTTTATTATTTATTTCATTTTTTTAACTTGAATTTCTGATTAACAAACCTAAAGATGTGAAAGTGTTTAGTTTTTTAATCAAAAATTTCGTTAAAGTTTTACAAAATATGAAATTGACAATAAAACAAATTCGAGATTCAAATTTTGAACTTCCAGATGCCAGTGTTTGGGTGGAGGACTATGTTATTCAAAATTTGATGACTCTAGGTACCGTTGTTTTTTCACTATGCGAAAAACGTTCAAACATTCATGCAGATTCTTCATTATTTAATTTCTTTAAGTATAATACAGGGAGATAATATTATTTGGTTGCAAAAATTTGAAAAGTGATACAGCTTTTTCTAATAATTCGACGCAAAATGCCTTTTCGAAATTAATAGCCCTTCTGCGCTATGGACTAAAAAAATGCTTTGTAAGCCATATTATTGTGAAAGCTGAGCATTGATATAATGAACTGAAAAAAAAAATTGAAAATGCAAGGCAACACGTAAAATTGCATCGGAAATTCTATACATATGCTGCTATGTTGCTTTAAAAATATTTTTCATCTTTCATTTGAATTGTATGTGGTAAGTGCGAAGAAAGCGATGCTTAATAACAACGCTGAGGAAAAAAAAGTATCAGCAGGTGTGAGTACAAAAGCACACTGGTAGACTGTGAGTTCAGAGAGCATAAAAAACATTAACAAAGCCTTTTTGGGCGACCATTAAAATATGAAACCTTTTAGTTTTTTTAAATTTTACATTAAATTCAGTCATTTAATTTAAAGCAATGAATTTCTTTTATTATGAATATGCTATATAAAATATTGGGCTGTTTCAGATGATTATTAGTAGGGCTGAAGCTTAAATAGAGAGCAAGTCAACGTATTTAACAAAGATTGAAATTTAAATAGAAAACAGCAAGCTCATACCTTTCTGTTTTAATACATTGTTACTTTTCTTCAAATTTAATTTTAACTCCTTTTAAATGTTGAAAAATAACGTGATTGATTTGATCTTTTTAAATCCTGACTGCTGTACGAAATTAAATTATTGCTTTACATAGGTAAAAACCATTCATGCTTGCAATAACAATAATAATGTAATAAGTAGCTTTCATGCTTTCAATAAAAATCTTCTTATTGTTCCCAAATGATAATGCCTATTTACTTAATAGCAACAACAAATATCTTCAAAGCTGGAATGGCAATACTAGAATAGCAATAAAGAACTTTGAAACGTAGTATACGTAGAGCTGCAAAACAACGTTCTTTTATTATATATTTTGTTATTGTACGTGTTATTGAAGTTATTGTACGTGCCACTGTAAAATCCTGTGGAAAATTACTTTAATACCGTTTTTTCAAGTCTATTTGCTGAATACCTCTATTTTGAAACAGTAAGTTTACTGGTTGTAATGTTTTCCTAGAAATATAAATGTTAAAATCAAATATGAAACGTATTATGAAAAAGCTTTATTGAGATTTCTGTGGCTAAGTAAGACAATTATTTATTCAGAATTATTTTATTTTCCTTACAAGAGTGGAATTTTTCTGCCACTAAGTTTTTAAGTGAATTATAATCAGTTTTTTAATATTCTAAACATGTTATTTCTTTTCTTGTGTTTTATACAGTTTTGAACTATGATCAATACATTTAATTTTTTGTTATTATTATTTTATTTGTAGGCTTTTGGGGAACATTCAGCACAGCAACGAAGAGGATTCAATTTATTTCCAAATTCAGCTGCGAATGTGAGTTTTTATATTTGCTAATAGTTCTAACACTAATTAATTGTTTTATCTAATACCAATAAATCGTATTTAATGACATCACATTGAAAATATATTATGAAATATAAATTTTAATTAAATTGAATACTGTACATATAATGCCTGATAAAAAATGCTTGAGAGAAACATGGTTATTAAAATATTGTATTTGTAGAGGAATAAATCTAAAATCTTTGCTTAGGTTAAGAGGGTTATACACTCCAGCTCGTGCGGAACAGTTTCACATTTCAGTTGTAGCGTCACATTAAGGATATGTCTCAGAAAATGGCCTTCATTTTGTAACTATGCAAGATATTATGTTCATTAACTAGTTATGATTTGAACCTTTACTTTAACTTCTTCTTTCCGTAGTTTTCACTAGAATGCAAATTAGATGTGTATTTGATCCGAGAGTTTGAGTGAATGTTCTAGAATCAGAGTTTCTGGCGGCCTTGCCTTGCGTACTGTGCCAACTCTGCTAGTTATTCCGGCTTTAGCATCTTGCTAACCGGCGTTTAAAATATTCGCTGTTAATTCATTGAGCCAGCTTAAGTAGTCTATTGTATATATATTCTCAGACAAGGTTATATAGAATTAAATTAATTTAATCTTATGTTACTTTAAATACCCGCAAGCATCGGAAGTTCATCTGTAGCACAAGTAGTGCTTTCTGCTCATTTAAAGAGTTAAATAAAAAGATTATGTTAAACTTTTTAATCACATTTCCATTTAGCTTTTAGATAAAAGAGAATCCTATAGATATTCCCAGATCTTGTAGATATAATTGACAATTAATTTAATAGCATTGCTTTATAGGTTCAGAACGATATTTTAAGGGATTATAAATGTATTCAGTCGGCCTTTCGAGATAGATACATACACTAGGGAGCTGCTTAAGTGTACAAAATGACTAGTTTGTTACGACTGATATTAAAAATGCTACATGGTTAGCACTGTTCTGTCAGAATGACACCATTTTTCATATTTATTTTTTCGCTTGACGGAAAAAAGTAGCTATGTGATTTTAAGCTGATTTATATGTATGCAAGTAAATAAGACTTTTGATGTGGATAACGCAAAACACAATGTAGTTTGGTGCGTAAATATGTGGTCAAAGTGGCTTAACACATTTTTATTCTTGACACAGAAATATGCACTTTGCGCATTTTTATAATATATTTAAAGAAAGAGAAGCAGATACTAGCAGGATGGAGAAGCTGAGAAGAAATGTGAACATTATAATATGAATGATATCGAAATTATATTTCCAATTTATTACTATTGATTACTTTTTGTAACATGATTACTTCTGGTTGAAAGACTTTGCGTTACTTAAATACATGCACCACGAACGTTGTATAAGACTCATACGACAAGGTTTAATTTTGAAATTAGTCAAGTTTAGAGAGATTTATTATAAGCGTATTACTATTTTTAGGATAAAAGGTGGGAAATAAAATTAAAAAAGATATTTAAGGTGTAGAGTCATTAGGTTAATTGGAAGCAGAAAAGATGAAAAATATGCAACCGTCTTCGCCGGTAATCGAACCACGGACCTCTGAAATACCGGCTCAGTGTGCAGAACCACTACACCACGAAGGCACGCTAGGGAAGTGGGAGAAATACCTTATAAAGGGACCGTTACAAATTAAAATTAGAGTTTTATTTTTTGTGTTGATTTTATTTCAGTGTTGATGAATGAACGTTGAACCGCGTATAAATGAAATTCCAGCTTTGACAAATTAAATGGAAACAATTAAAATTATGCGTATCAGCGGAATCGCTTTCCTCGAAGCCCACGTTCGGCAAGGTTTTACTGTATGTGCACCGAATACAGCATGTATATATGCCATTGCTCATGTATTATGTCATCTATCAGTTGAATTATAAGCCACAATAATTGAGTTATAAGGCACAATAATGCCATCATGTTTTAAGAGATATAATTCTTTTTTTATTATTATTGTTGCTGAGTAGTTGGTTTGAGCTTTGGGATGGTCACGAGCGTTTTGTTGTATCCCAATTATATTTTATTGATTTTCTGAACTTCAAAGATAAGGCGTATTAAGTTTTCAACAATGCTAATAAATATGCAATCGAAATCATTTATTGAATAATATGTGCCCATGCGTCTTTTAATTCCTATCAGAAGAAAGATCAGAACGATGAATATTTTTTCTGTAATTTATGTTGGTAGCAACATGTCAGCTATTAATCACAATTTTGTAAATCATTTCATAAAACATGAGTGTCCATGTGATAGATATCCATCTTTCTCCGGCATTAAATATTCTGAACACCTAACATGATTCTACAGTCTGTTGAACATAAACATATCCTTTTTATGTTTCCCACGTAAAATTACACTAACGATAGTTTCACTTGGTGGGGGGTAGAGGAGAAAAAACAAAAGAAACGTTTCAAGAGCATTTTCAGACGCATACGTCCCGCAGTATAAAAATGCATTTCACGTAACTTGGAAAGAAAAATTTCTCTCATAAACGGTTCGATGGGCTCAAAAATGAATTTTATCTTATCGCCAATGCACTTTTCTCACTGTGTTTACAAGTCGCCTTTGAAGATTTTGGAAATTATGTAATTCGTCTTGCTCAGTGCTAATATCTGATAAGAAATCTTTTATTTCAAAAACCAGTGTTGTTAAGTTCATCGTCGCTCATCCGCATAAAACACGCTGGTAGCTACACTGGAAAATGTTTTAGCTTTGCATCCATCAAAATTTTTCATCTACACGCGCAATTTTTCTTTTATCTGATAAATTCAAATCTTCTTTTGATTAAAGCAAATGGTTTCAAAATCTTAATGACTATCATGTTTTGATTCTAATAACATGCTACGGGGAACGTGGGCACCACCCCTTTACCGTCGGTTAATTGGTGGTAGCGCCACGTCCACCAATATCTAGAGTTGAACCTTGAGTCTTTCAAAAGAGCAATTACATTGCCATACAAGGGCTGTTAATATTTAGTATTACATTCTTGTTTGCTGGTTAACATATTCTATGGATAACGTGATTTACAGAGTTACATACTGACTTTGTCTCTCATTTCCGGCATACAATGCATATGCATTACCTGAATTACATTAATCTTACATTGCGTTGAATTACTTTTGTGTACAGTTACAGTTTTTTAGCTGTACATTTCAATAATATACCTACATTACTTGTAGATTGCATATAAATACAGTTTGCATGTACAGTTACATATGCCAATATTACATGTGCCTTACGTTACATTATTTTTATATACATACATAGTCAGGCACGCCTGCTTCACATATTACTTAATTTTACCTACACTGCTTAACCTTAGGTTACATATACTTGCAGTTGTATACAGATACATGCAGATACATTCTGATTAATTTTTAGATACAAATATTTACAAACATAATAGTCTTACAGGTTACTTACATTACATGTTATTTGGGTACTTATTGCATAATTTTCAGTACATGAAATAGACATTCCAATATATACATTGCTTTGCGTTAGACATCCTATATCCCTTATTCATAATACAAAACATATAGAATCAGAAATCCTATAAAGTTCCGAAAAAACTTCGTCATATGTGGTTCAGTTGACATTTCCAACACTATAACTCTTTGCATATCTTTGGGCCAACCAATGGCTGACCATGAATGTCGCTGGACGTGTTGTTGTTGTTATTACTAATATCACTTGTCTGAATCAGGTTAAGTCCAGGAATTATTATCATGGCAAGGAGCACTAGACTGCGTCTTTTATTGGCTACAGCCTTAAGCACCATACAGGTGACAGTCCGACTTTGCTCAGTTCTGCCCCAATGAAGCAAAGCACCCCAGAAGACAGGTCCGAGGGTCTCTTACATCCGTTCCGCTATCACTAATCTCTCGAAAGGCCTTTCGCTCGCAGCATATTTTGAATGTCCTCATGCCGCACAGACAGTATATATATATTTTTTTTTCATTATTGTTTTGTTTAGCTACGAGTCTAGTTTTTCAATTACTTTTTATTCATTATTGATATTGGTAAATCTCTGTATGGTTTTTTAATTTATTATTTTTATTTTAAAAGTATTTTAACTCCTTGTGCACCACATAGTATTACACAAAGCTTATAAAGTTAAGTACGAGTAAAAAAACTACAAAACAACATGAAATAAAGTAAGGTTACAAATTCACAGATGAAACGTAAGAAATAAATATACAGAAAGAACAGAATGCCATTTTATCTTGAGCAAAAACGCGGAAAGGAAACGTAATGTTTAAAGCATTTAACTGAAAAATGAATTCTTGTTTTCCTTCCGCTAAGCTTTGAACTGTAGAACAACAACAAATGTTCAACATTTTGCATTCTTCGGAAGCTTCAGTCAATAGAAGTCTGCATGAGCTAGTCTAAATCTCTTCAGATACGAATTGATATTAGTTTTCTGTTAGATCAAAATTGTAGAAAAAATATTCTTTGTTGAATCTGTGAGGAATAGACTGAAAAATTATTTAATCAGGCAGTGGAATTTCTGTGTAATTCATTCTACTTGACAATTATTTTACTCCAAATTGTTTTCTTGAAGAATGATTCATCTTGGTTTAGTTGTCAGTTACTTTTGATAGATATTGACTTTAAGCCGACTCATGAATTATAATTTGACTGAAATGTGCTTTGACTGCCATATAGTGATAGAATCAGAAGAAATTCTCATCATATTTCCTTATATGACAAATATGTTATTTGCTTCACTAAGAAAATATTTTCTCATTCTACTGTCGTAGGCGCAGGCGACCCGAAAAGGTTAACGTTCGGGGATCCACCCTCTTGAAGCCACTCGAACGCTTCGCTGAAGGGTGGAGTTCTTTTCTTGTTCCGCCGACACCTATTCTTCCGAGGTTTATCTTCATTTTGAGTATGTTGTAAGAAATTTTATATTTATCTGTGCTGTAATTCAGTAAAATATTTTAATTGTCTCTTATTCAAAGATCGG